CACGCTTCCAAACGACGTCGTTTTTGGCGTCTTTTTAAAAAAAAAAAAAAAAAAAAAAAAAAAAAAACTGTTCTATTAACGGCGTTAGGAAGGCAATTCTGATCCGACAACTCTTTGCGTTTGATTCTTTCCTATTCGCAATTCTCTGGAGGCAGTTGTAATCCGACATTCGCGATTTTTTCCTATTCGCGATGGAGGAGACGACGGTTCGAGGAGAAGATTCCACCGATATGATTTCTGTGATTCCAGGTTGCGTTCGATTTTATGCGTTTGATTTCGTTTGATTTATGAGATCATGGATTGTTGAAGATTTAGTTATTTTTATTGGTATTTGTTCAGTATCTATGCAGTTTGAATGTTCATAATGTTGTAATTGTGTATTAGTACCATGTCTCTGTTATGAATTTTACAATATGAGATTATGTATTTTCTGTTACGCAATTATGAATTTTGATACTCTGTTCATGCATGTGATATGAATATTCATAATGTAATAGTACTATGTTCATAACATATTAACTGGTATGTTACACTGTTTGCATATACTCAGTGAATGAAGACTTTGTTGGTGATTCAATAAGCAATGATCAAGCAGAGTTAAACATTGACATTGATGGCTCGTCTTCAAGTCCAGGTTCTTTTTATTAGTTTTGTGTATCATGAATGTTGTTTCTAGTAGGTGTAGGTACTGATTCATGGTGATTATATGCAAATTGAATGTTGTGATTGGTATTAATACTCTGTTCACGTTATGAATTTACATTTTTGAGGTTATGAATTTTCCGTTATGTTATTATGAATTTTCTATATGAGATTATGAATTTTTTATATGAGATTATGAATTTTATGTTATGAGTTTATGTGTATCTGTTATTGATGGAAAATATGTTCTTCTTATGTTGAGCATGGCTGGATTTATTCGGCATTCCCCGTACCCCCTCTACGTAAATGAAGAATATATTTCTATCAAATCTATAATGAACTGCACATTCATATTTTAGTAGTTGGTATAGGTGTGGTTATATTTTTGTTGCAATTGCAGTTGATGAAGACTTGGTTGGTGTTGTAGTAAGCAATGTTGACGAAGCTTTTGAGTTATATAATGGATATGCATACAGAGTTGGTTTTAGTGTGAGGAAAGGCGAACAACGTTATAAGGCATCTACTAAGTCAATTCAGATGAAGAGGTTCTTCTGTGCTAAGGCTGGGTATAAGCAGAAACCAAACAGTGGTGTTAAGCTTTATTCAAAGATTGATATGAGGACTGGCTGTGGTGCATTTGTTCAGTTTGATGTGGGGGTGATGGGATGTGGACAGTTACAAAACATTTGAAAGAGCACAATCATGAGTTATGTTCATTTGGCAAGAGTCATCTGCTCCGGTCGCATAGAAGAGTGGGAAACAATCAGCTTGAATATTTAAAAGACATGAAGAATAGTGGTGTTGCATTGGCGGATGGTATGAGGTTTTTGAAACATCAGTCAGGGGGTTCTCCATTGGTTGGCTTTACCAACCGCGATGCTTACAATTCGATGGCTTCTGTGAGTTTGAAGTGTTTGGATGGAACTGATTCCAATTCTTTGATTGAAATATTCAGGAGGAGGCAATCTAATGAGGCTGATTTCTTTTTTGATTTCGAAGTTGATTTGGATGGAAGATTGTGTAGTTTTTTTTGGAGGGATGGTCAAATGAGAAGGGATTATGAGGTGTTTGGTGATCTGTTAGTGCATGATACAACATATCGCACTAACAAATATGATATGATTTGTGGTCCTTTTTGTAGGGATGAACCATCATTGCATGAATGTAATGTTTGGATGTGGTTTTTTGATGAATGAGAGGATAGAGTCATTTGCGTGGTTGTTTAGAGCGTTTTTAAGATCCATGGATGGCAAGTGTCCACAGACTATCATGACGGATCAATGTTCAGCTATGGCTGCTGGCATTTCCATGGTGTTTCCTACATCACGCCACCGTCTTTGCATATGGCATATTGGTGAGAATTCGAAGAAGCATATCAAGGCATTAAGGAATCATAAGGATTTTCTGGATATGTTCAATTGTGTGTTGAAATACACCGAGACTGAAGCGGAGTTTGAAGTTTACTGGACAAGGTATGTTATTATGAATTTACATTATATAATTCTGAATTTTCTGTTATGTCATTATGTTTTTTCTGTTATGTCATTATGTATTTTCTGTTATATGATTTATGAATTTTCTAATATGAGATTATGAATTCACAGTTATACAATTCTGGATTTTATGTTATGTCATTATGTATTTTCTGTTATATGATTATGAACTGTGTAATATGAGATTATGAATGCAAGTATACAATTATGTATTTTCTGTTATGTCATTATGTATTTTCTGTTATATGATTATGAGCTTTCTAATATGAGATTATGAATTTTCAGAATATGATTAGTAAACATGTGTTTTAACTTTTTCAGGATGGTTACAAAATATAATTGTCATAAGAATACATGGCTAGAGAAGCTTTATGACTGTAGGGAGAAGTGGTGTCCAGCGTTCAACAAGGATTATTTCTCCGGGGGTATTTTATCTTCGCAAAGGAGTGAAAGCACAAATCATTCAATTTCTAGGAGGTTGTCCAAGACTGCTGGTTTATGTGATTTTTATTCATCCTTTGTGAGTGTTATTTCTGAATGGAGAAGTAAGGAAAATGGTGAGGATTTCCGGTGTTCTCAAGGAGTACCCGCCATGATGATGGATCATGTGAAACTCCTTTCACATGCTAGAGAGGTTTATACAATTGAGATATATTTTTTGTTCGAGGAACAATTTATGAAAGGTAGCTCTTGTTATCAAGAAATGGTGTTGAACGATGGTTGTAAGTGCAAGTATCACGTGTGGCGACCAGACATAGATATCATAAGGCATGAAGTAACTTTTAAGCCAATCAATTTGGATATATGCTGTAGTTGAAAGCTGTTTTCAGAATTGGGAATACTTTGCTGCCACTGCTTACGTATACTTCACGTGCACTGTGTTTCCAGTATTCCCGATAAATACATTCTAAAAAGATGGACTAAAAAGGTTGTTGAGGGTAGAAATGTGGACATTGCATCCGTGTTTTATAATGGTGGTGTCCCTTCTTCAATTTGGGCTGTTGAGATTAGTAGGAAATTTCAAAGGCTTATTGTTTGTAGCCAAGATAACAGTGTTGCTAGACAATTCTGTGATGAACCTGTTGAGAATGCAAGGAAAAACATTGAAGCTGAGATTGGGGATGTGAATATTGAGGAGGGTGCTGTGTCTTCGTCAAGTGGTATTGTCCAAGACCCTTCAAGCCGGAGGAGTAAAAGTGTGAGAAATAAAAGGAGTAGTAGTGTTATTGAGAAGAAGTACAATGCAGCAAGGGGGGGGGGGGGGGGGGGGGGAAGAGTGCTGCAAACAAGCTTGCTTCAATTACAAAGGGCTCTGTCCAATCATTGGTCTTGGAAAATATTTCAGAGATTGCTCGTGATGGATATCTTGTACATCCAAGCACTGGGGGTTCACAGTTTGTTCATTTTAATAAGAATGTAGACCACGATGTAGCTATAGATTGAGATTGTGTTAATAGAACTTCATATGTTTAGCAGTGTTGTGATGAATACTATGCAAAATACTATGTGTCAGTTTATGAATTTTCATTCATGTGATTATGCATTTTCCTTTGTGTCATTATGGATTTTCCTTTATGTCATTATGAACTTACAGTATGTACTTACGAATCTTATGATATTAGACTGTGAATTATGTGTCAGATTATGAATTTTCCTTTACCAGTTTATGAACTTTCTTTTATGTGATTATGAATTTTCTTCTATGTGATTATGAATTTACAGTATGTACTTATGAATTTTATGCTATTTAGAGTTTACGAGAATTATGTCTCAGATTATGAATCTTCCTTTATGTGATTATGAATTTTCCTTTATGTGATTATGAATTTTCCTTTATGTGATTATGAATTTTCCTATATGTGATTATGAATTTACAGTATGTGCTTATGAATTTTATGCTATTTAGATTTTATGAGAATTATGTGTCAGATTATGAATGTTCCTTTATTTGATTATGAATGTTACTTTATGTGATTATGAATTTTCCTTGTTGTCATTATGAATGTTATTTTAATGTTATGTAATAATGAATTTTCAGTTATAGCTAACACGTATACATTCATAATCTCATAATAGAAAGTTCATAATTGCATAATAGAAAATTCATAATATGGTAGTTGAAAATTCATAAATCTACATGATCCATATGTAATCTGAATTAAGAGTAATAGATTGTATATATATTCACAGGTGCAAAATATCGGTGCACATTACAAAATGAGAGATTCTCAATCTAGGGTACCAACAGTCAAGATTTCAAAATGAAGTATTGAGAAAATTAATACTTCATGTTCACAACATATTCAAACACCAAAAAGCGGTATAGTTTCATTTCTTCTTTGAGAGATCCTTTGTTGCCTTCATAACTCGCAATCTTTCAGTGTTCCTACCCCATGTGATAATGTTTGACGTGTATTTAGCTCTAAGTTCCCAAGGAAGTCAGCCTAAAAAAAAAAAAAAAAAAAAAAAAGATGTTAAAAAACAAAAACAAAAAAAAAAAAAAAAAACAAAAACAAAAAAACAAAAAAGCAAATCTAAGTTGAAATTAATATATCTTATACTCTTACATTTACACGGGTGCCTATCTTGAATCCACTGTCCCAATCTTGAACATTCCCCTTGTACGACTCCATGTGTCGCATGACATATATGCCACAGTCAATCACATTGTCAAGCTCCTTCCAAGGAATGGCCAAGTGTGATACAGGAAGATTTTGTATCTTACGGAGTAGGGGTGATTTTTCTGCAGTCAAGTACTCTCTCAAAGCAGTCATCTGGACAAAAATGAAACTAGTGTGATAATGATTCATAGGAAATGTATAACAAATGTTTGGAAGGTCAAGTTTAAGGTTAAGTTACCAGTAGACTAGGGCAATCTTCATACTTGTCAGCTTCAGTAACATCCTTAGGCAGCATCTTGTTGTCTATGATTTCAACACTTTTTGAGATGGTGTTGATGCAGACAATGAAGTAGTGTTCGTGTCGAAGCACGGGGAAAAATATCTAACATCAAAAGAAAAAGTAGTTAGAATAGAGAAGAAATATGTCATTAATGAATAAATGTTGAACGTGGGTAATTATAAATTACCAAATCAGCATCATTGACGTCAAGATTTCCAAATTTGGAAATTTCATACTGTAACCGCTCATTGAAATTCTCCTTCCGCTTTTGAAGCGGAAGATTCTTCATCCACTGTTCAGTTGGGTCAAGTTGAAGCTAAGGGGAAAAAAATACGTATCAATGATAAGTTGTGCAATATGTAATGGCGGTCATACATAGTTCATAATATCATAACATAAAATCCATAATATTACAAAGAAAATACATAACTACAGAACAGAAAATTCATAATATCAAAATTGTAATTTCATAAGTCACAATAGAAAATTCATAATGCCATATGGGAAAATTCATAATCTCACACAGAAAATACATAATCTCACATCAGAAAGTTCATAATATCAAAAATGTAACTTCATAAACTCACAATAGAAAATTCATAATCTCATATGAGAAAATTCATAATCACACACAGAAAATACATATTTACATGACATAAAATACAGAATGGTTTAACAGAAAATTCATAAGTGAGCAGAGTAAAAATTGTTGGTATTAACTTACATGTACCAACGTGCTAAAATAGATGCACTTTGGCTTCCCCAATGCCCGTTTTGTGTTGAGGAGTGTAAGCCTCAACGCCCATACATCGATGAATGTGCTAAAAATTTCACCGCTGCGTAGGGTGTGGAAATCTCCTCTTGTCATTAAGAAATCATCAAAGCTAAACAGAGTTTCACTACATCAACAAAAAAGTTTGATAAATACATAAATGAATTAATACATGGTTATAAATGTGAAATATTCATGAAAATAAAAAGTTTTTAAAATGGTTAGATTCAAACATACTCTATTGGATGATTTGTAGAAGCATCCATGAAGGCGTAGTTTGATACGGCCCTCTCGGTGACACTAGCATTATGGTCAGACGGTACATTCTTTGTCCAGAAAGGTGACCTCAAATTTAGCGGGATGTTTTTGTATTTCCGGATTGGTCTCTTTCGTATGGTAACATCCTCGACATCAGATTCACTGTCCAGAAATGCACTGTAAACACATGAAGCTAGTTAATATCATCATAATTGCACAATCTCAGTTCAGAAAATTCATAACTGCAGTACAGAAAATTCATAAATACAGAACAGAAAATACATAATTGCATATCAGAAAGTTCATAATATCAAAACTGTAATTTCATACTCATAATAGAAAACTCATAATCTCATATGTGAAACTTCATAATCTTTCAGAAGAAAAGTCATAATATAATATAAGAAAGTTCATAACACAATTTCATATTCTAATTAGTTTACCTATCAATATCATCGAGGGTAGCAGGAAGTGTAGCAGTAGGCGTAGAAGTATCAGCAGCACCAGGGACATCTCTAGCGAATGGAACCTTAATCAATGGAATTATTTCCCGTCTTTCAGAACTTGATGCAGCAGGGGTAGCAACATGGGTTTCAGAAGATGAAGCAGCAGGGGTAGCAGCAGTGCTAGGAACATGTGTACCAGCAGGGAAAGCAGCAGGGGAAGAAACAGGCATAGCACCATGCGTAGCAGCAGGGGTTGCAGCAGGGGTAGCAGTAGGAGTAACAGCGAGTGTAGCAGCATCAGCAGCACCAGGAGTGTCTTTCACAATGTTCTGAACAAGGGCATCCAATTGATCTTCATCCAATGCGCCCTGCTCCTGTGGTTCGTCAACCAATGGCGCCGGGGTATAAGAAATCCCTAAATCAAACGAGGGAGGGTCAAACTCCATTTGCCGATTGGTCTTTTGGAAGGCTTCAACCAAGGCATCAACAGCCTTTGTGAAAGACTCCTGGCCAAAGAAGATGTCGTCAAGTTGAGAGGAGGTTGGAGTTGGTGCTCTTTCTATCGTGCTTGCTACGCCAATCATGGTAGAAATCCCAGAAAATGCAGCCTTCATAACATCCACAGGGGCGTTTTGTTTTCCAACTTCAGCCATAGCCTCACCGAATTCCAAGACATCAGCAGCAAGGCGTTGTAGAACTTGCGTGACCCTGTCAACACTGGATGGCGGCACAGAGATGGTTGGGACTGGTTGGGCTGAAGTAGAAGCAATACAGTCAGCAGTAGGCTTTGCAATACGAGGGATAACTTTCCCTTTCCCATATCCGCCCGACCTTTTCTCAGCAGAAACCCTTTGTCGTGCAAGTTTATTTGTCCATTCAGTAATGCTTGGATATGTTCTTTGAACCCTCATTCCTTTGAACTGGACCCAATCAAAGTAGAATAGCTACAATGTTCAAGAAAAAGGTAAAATAAAAAAGTTATAATCATAATTCCATAACTATAAATTCATAATATCCTAACACAAAATTCATAATTACATTACAGAAAATTCATAATACCGTAATAGAAAATTCATAATCCATATGAACACTATATTCAACTATCATATTATGGATTTTATGTTATGCAATTATGAACTTTCTATTATGAGATTCATTATTGCATAACATTAAAAGAACATTCATAATGACAACATGGAAAATTCATAATTACATAAAGGAACATTCATAATCAAATAAAGGAAAATTCATAATCTGACACATATAATTCTCATAAAATCTAAATAGCATAAAATTCATAAGTACATACTGTAAATTCATAATCACATAGAGGAAAATTCATAAGCACATAAAGGAAAATTCATAATCTGATACATATAATTCTCATAAAATCCAAACAGCATAAAATTCATAAGTACATACTTTAGATTCATAATCACATAGAGGAAGATGCATAATGACATAAAGGAAAATTCATAATCATATAGAGGAAAATTCTTAGAGGAAAATTCATAATCACATAGAGGAAAATTCATAATCTGACACATATAATTCACAATCTGAATATCATAAGATTCATAAGTGGAACTAGAACTTACCAATATGAATGTCATTGGTCCAGTAAAGAAGCTACTACTTTTCTTCTTGTACTGCTCGATGGATTTGATCAGAGAGTTGTAGGTGTAGCTACACCAGTTGTACTCCTTTATCTCATCAACATTAATCAAGGAGTTGAGGATTCTGTTGTTGCAGTAGCGTGTCTGAAATCCCCGCATCATGCACGAAACAGTTAAGACCATGAAGTCTCTCTTAAATTCATCTCCATAATCTCCCCTTTGAACTATGACATCTCCCATCTTGGTAGTGATTGGGGAACCAAGATTAATATTCCACCTTTGCCTCCAGCTTTGCAAGAGAGCCCTGTACTCCGGTGTCCCTTGTTCATCATATTTTGGGGCCTCAACAACCTTCTTTTCTCCTCTTGGAATGCCAAGAGTGTACTCAATGTCCTATTCTTCAACAGTGAGCTTGTCGTTCTCCAGTTTGAAATGTGTTTGGAAAAACTCAAAGTTGTTTAGCAAATACTGGACTAATTGTGACTCATTTGCACACAATTGAAGGTCCAACAGGGCTCCGAAACCAATATCACGGACAAATTGTTTTTGTTCTGGCGTTAGCTGTTGTACAAGCCTGAACATGGTCTTTGGTCCCATCCGTGTGCTGAAATAGGAAGTAGAACTCCCTTCTGCACGATCACCTCCATCTGCTTCAGTATTATGCACAATGGCTGTTTTGCCCCTATGTCTATCATTTATCTGTTTTGATCTCTTTTCTCTAATCACTTCTTGCTCGAGCAGGTCATCAGACTGCTGCTGGGATGGTTGAGCAGCTTGTGAGTCAAGTACAGCTCTTGTTGTTCGTTTTCTCTTGTTTTTTGTCGTAGTTTTGACTGCAGTGTTTTGTTCAGCTGTTGTCTGTGAGGGTTGTGATGGTTGTGCGGCTTGAGAGCTCAAGAGTGCCTTTGTCTGTGAGCGTGTTCTCTTTCGTTGAGCAGTGTCCATTGCTTTTATTAAAAATGTTAGAAAGCAAGTAAGTCATATACAACATATAATGTAGATTGATGGAAAATATATTCCTAATTTCAGTAGAGGGGGGATGGGAGTGCCGAATAAATCCAGCCATGCTCTACCGAAAAGAATACATTGTCCATCAATAACAGTCACACATAATTCATAATATAGTAACATAAAATTCATAATATCACAAAGAAAATTCATAACCTCAGAACAGAAAATTCATAACTTAGAACAGAAAGTTCATAACTGTAATACAGAAAATTCATAAATACAGAACAGAAAATTCACAACTGACATTGTAGAATTCATAATCTCATATAAGAAAATTCATAATCTCATATTGTCTATCAATAACAGTCACATATAATTCATAATATAGTAACATAAAATTCATAATATCACAAGGGAAATTCATAACCTCAGAACATAAAATTCATAACCCCAGAACAGAAAATTCATAATTACAGAACATAAAATTCACAACTCACAATACAGAATTCATAATCTCGTATGAGAAAATTCATAATCTCTCACAGAAAATACATAAGCACATGTCAGAAAGTTCATAACATCAATAACAGTCACATATAAGATATACATTCATAAGCTCATAACATTACATTCAAAACCCCATTTTAAAATTTCAAAATATGTACACAGAATACAAAAATCCTAAATCATAAACACATCATGTATAAAATACCTGTAAGTCAAGTGAAGCAACGTTGAGAATGAGCGATGGAGAGGCTGTCTCCTTTGATAGCTACGGGAGAACGCGAAGTTTTGTTCGAGAGATGCGAGAACGAGAAATGCGAGAACGAGAAATGCGAGAGCAGAGAGGAATGGCTGTGGAGCAGAGAGTTTGAGAGTGATCGAAGGAAATGGCTGTGGAAGACGAAGTGCGAGAAGAGAGCTCGAGAGTGGAGTTCAAAGAGCAGAGTGATGGAGGTTGCGTGGAGAGGAAGTGAAATGGTGTAGTGGGAACTGGAAACGCTATTGGCGCGTTTAATTTTTTAAAAAAAAAATAATGTGAGTGGTGGGAGTTAACGGTACCACTTACGGACACCGTTAGTCCCACTCACTCTAAACGGTGACGATTAGTGTTTTGGGCTTTTCAGGGGTGGATCAGCCCAATCACTCCCGCATCTTCATGGCGGGAAATCCACTGAACTGTGATACAATATTTAGAATTTAGAAATCTCCATTTTACAAATTTAGCGGGCCAATTCTTTGAACCGGCGGTGGCGGCATGGCCGTAAGGGTGCTGAATGTGGCGGAGAAGCCGTCTGTGGCGAAGGCGGTGGCGGGGATACTGTCGAACAACCAAATGAGGTCGAGGAACGGACGGTCGGTGTACAACAGAATATTTGAGTTTAACTACACTATCCTAAACCAGCCCTGCCAAATGCTCTTCACTTCCGTCACGGGGCACCTCATGGAGCTCGAATTCGATGATCGATACCGCAAGTGGCACTCCTGCGATCCTGTCGATCTCTTTAGCGCCCCCGTTCGGAAATCTGTCCCGGAGGTGACTGAAAATTTACTTTTATTACTGCAGGAAATGCTTCTGTAGTTTGATTTAGGAACTGTACTGTGTGTCTGCATCAATTTCTGTTTGATTTTATCGACACAACTGTCAACCTCTGCCTTTCCGAGAAATGATGATACTTGCTTCTACCGGAGCGTTTGGATTATATCTTTTACATATGATCACATTGCTGGTAATTGTAGGATAAGTTAGATATCAAAAGGACACTGGAGGAAGAGTCTCGAAGATGCCAATGGCTTATACTATGGCTCGATTGTGATAGGGAAGGGGAAAATATTGCATTTGAGGTGTTGGAAATCTGCAAACAAGCTAATCGTAACCTTAGAGTGTGGAGGGCTCGTTTCTCTGCTCTGATTGACAGGTTCAGATTTCTTGCTAGCTGGCAGATGTTTATTCTGGTTTATTATCTTTACTGTAGCCCTACAGTCCTTGACAAATATTAGTAACCCTTGACATTATTCTGGGGTCACCAGGGAAATTCGCCAGTCAGTGGAGCGACTTGTTCAACCCAATCAATTGTTTTCTGATGCTGTTGATGTACGACAAGTGAGTACAAAGTATTTACAGGGCATTTTTGCAAAGTCATTTCTTCCTATGTTACTTGTCTACCATCCAAAAGGTTTTCCTTTATTGCATGTCTTGGATTAGAAGTGGTAATTGGAAAATGGTTCCAGATTGTTGATATAAGATCTTTATTGCAGTGTTATAAGTATAATAAATTGATACTAATTGAAGCCTTCCTATTGGCTCCCTGTCTAATATCTAATCTTTACAGGAGATAGATCTTCGTATAGGTGCTTCTTTCACAAGATTTCAGACTATGCTCTTGAGAGATACATTTGTCATTGATCTTGCTCCGGATGACAGAAATCTTGTCCTGAGTTATGGTCCTTGTCAGGTAACATATCTTTAATTTGGTTTCCACTCATGTTGTATAACCTTACCTATACGCTTAGCAACACAAGGGAAGATAAAGCTACAGCTATTCCAGAATAATGTGCAAATTGGTGTAATCCAAAATGTTTGTGTACTGCAGTTCCCTACTCTTGGTTTCGTGGTTGAGCGGTACTGGGAGATACAAGCTCACGAACCCGAAGAGTTCTGGACAATCAATTGTACTCACACTTCAGATGAGGGCACTGCAAACTTTAATTGGATGTAATTATTGTAATTGATATTTTTAGCACAAGATTATATTCTCAAATTTAAATCAGACTACCAAAATGTGACTTTGACTTTACAGGCGTGGGAATTTGTTTGATCACACATGTGCAGTAATTATTTATGAAATGTGTGTCCAGGACCCCACTGCAACAGTGAGTCCAATGAAATATTGCTAATGCTAATTCACAACATTTACAGGATGAGTTGTTAAACTAATTGTAGTCATTACGTTTGGACAGGTCACTAAAGTTAGGCAGCAGGAGAAGCTGAAATATCCTCCACACCCGCTGAACACCATTGAGCTTGAGAAACGTGCTTCAAGATATTTCAGAATGAGTTCTGCACAAACTATGAAGGTAAGTTTTGAAGCTAAGCAGTGGTCTATAGTGCATATCTTTAACAAGACTTGGTTGATGCTGATACTTATGATTTCATTGAAGTATCTTTCTTGGGATTAGGAATGACTGTTCTTTATCAATTTTGTTGAGCTACATGGTATACTTCAAATTTCAGGGCATCTAATTGCTATTCCCCTATTCCTTAGGTGGCTGAGGATCTTTACCAACAAGGATTTATTAGCTACCCACGCACTGAGACTGATCGCTTCTCTGTTGATGGCATTGCTAACTTGCCTGTAAGTCATTATTTCTTCCTCAATCATCTAAGAGTGGTTTATTTGAGAAGTGGTAATGTTTCAATATGAATACCATGAAACAAGGAAAATTTGATAAGGAAAAACAAAATTTACCAGCAGGATAAATTTGTTATTGCTTGAAAAGATAATACATGCAGAGAAAGTTCTAAGAGCATCCACATTAGTTGGGAAGAATATGGGGATAATGTAAGAGTGATTAGGAGAGAGAATGTGGGGAAGGGAGAAAAAAAAAAATTAAAAAACAAACGAAAAAAAAAAAAAAAAAAAAAAGAACCTGTCAGGCGCGCCGTTCGGCGCGCCTGACGCGCCCGTGTGGGCAGCCCCTTTTTTCTTTTCTTTCTCTTTCTTCTTTTTCTGCCATTCTCCCTTCATTTGCAGTATGAATATCTCCACAATTATCCCCACCCCACATTTGTTATTATCTCCATTGGGAAGAATTAATACTGAAATCTCCCCATAATATACACAAGTGTGGATGCTCTAATGTTCGGTGATTGAAGTTTCAAACAGTTTACTTCACATGATGAGAGTGAATGGAATTAGAGCTTCTGTTGAACTCTAGGATCTGTTATTGCTTTCAGTCATTTTGCTGTATTTACGCTGATGCTACAACAAGTTGCTTTGCACCATAATATCTCATGCTATTATTGTTATTATTGTTACTTGTTAGTACATGAGTATATTCTGCATTATTTTGCACCTGATCTTTAACCTTTTTTCTGTGGCATAGTGAAGTATATTAATTCCATTTTTAGTCCCTTGATTATTGTGGTATTTCCTTAGAAAATGTAGTGAAGGGACCGAGGGACTAATTTTCGCACATACTTGTGAACTTAATTTGTTAAATTGATACTTGATAGTCACGAACTAAATATGGAAATGCCACAAGAGTCAAAGGATTTATTGCTGGTATTCCCATTTTAGCTTCTTCCTTGCTGAGGCTATGCCAACTTTTATCTTACAAAACATGTTTACATCTCCAATTCCTTTTCTGTAGCTGCAATTTCTTATCAATCAATCATTTTGACATAATTCTTTGTGATGCAGATGACTGTTCAAGAACAAGTTGGTCACCCAGTATGGGGCTCTTATGCCCAGCGCTTGTTGGACCATGAATCAGGACTGTGGAGAGACCCTAGTGGTGGAGTGAATGATGACAAGGCCCATCCTCCTATTCACCCAACTAGGTTTTCAGCTGGAGAACCTGGATGGAGTCAAGACCACCATGTTAGTACATCTCCTGTCAGCACTTTTTAACTTGGGATTAAGCAACATTTGAGTTGTATTAAATTTTCCTGTTGGATTTGATCTGATTAAACTCCTTTACTAATGATCTAAGATCTTTTGCAGAAAGTGTATGAACTAGTTGTTCGCCATTTTCTGGCCTGTGTCTCTCAACCGGCCAAAGGAGCTGAGACCATAGTTGAAATTGATATTGCTGGTGAATCATTTTCAGCATGTGGGAGAGTGATAATTGCTGTGAGTTTCTGATTGCACCAGCAATACATAACTTTGCATTACAGGGATTGGGTTGTTATTATTGACCTTGTTTCATGGGACACACTATTTTTGCTTGTGCTGTTAATGATTATATGAGTGTTCAAGAGTTCCATTCTATTAAACTCTTCATGTGTTTTTAGGAACTGGAAAATGTATAATTTAGCTTCAATGTGCATTCTTGGATTTTTATTTTTTAATTTAAGCAAGAAAAACTTTTCCTTATCAAATAAGAAAAAATACTAACCTGCTTTTAGGAAAGTAAAAATTTATAATTAGATTCAATGTGCGTTCTCAGTTCTTTCCTATAAAGAAAGGTTTTTCCTCATGGAATAACAAAACAAGGCATTCTGGAGAACCTTTTCCTGAACAATAGTAACCTGCTTATTTCATGCAGAAAGACCATGCCCTAATTTGCAACATATTACTATATTAGACAAGAGTCAATGGCAACAACTTATCCAAGAAACCCACTCAATTTGAAATACTTGTTTTTTTAATCCCTTGGAAATACTTTTCTTGTTATCATGGGCACACTCATAGTATCAAATACTTGATTGTGGTGGTATTCATGAAATGTAGATAACAAGGATCATGTTGCTATTTCTTCCTTTCCTTGCTTGATTTCTCATGATAGACATTAAGTATGTTGTACAATTTGTTTTATCATTTCTCTTTTCTATTTCCTTTTGTTTGCTTTAGCTATTTAAAAGTTTCCTCTCTCATTATAACTAGACTAGATACCAAAGTAAGAAGTACTATGAAATAGGTTCTTGCTCAAGGATGTCAAAGTTTGCCCCTTTTTTGGGTGAAATTTGCTATGGGGCATATGGTGCTTTACCTATGACTTCATGCATTTAAGTAGTCAACCGTTTTTTATACTATATCAGCTGATAATCTGTCATTACCTTTCGGCATCCAGCCCTCCATATAGCTTCTCTCGCTGGTACATATATAAGTTACCTATATGTTATTCTTTTTTATACATCATTGAATTCAAATTTCTGTTTGTCATATTATGCAGAAAAACTACTTGGATGTCTACAGATATGAATCATGGGGGGGTTCAGTGATCCCAACATACAGTTTTGGGCAGCAGGTTCATCATTGTATACTTGTATCTATTTCTAGATTACTTATCTAGTGGCCCTATTATTGCCTTCAGATCTTTGTAAATCAACAAATTTTTGAGGTTAACATTGGGTTAAAAAAAGGAACAATGGAGGATGACCAATGAGTTTTATCAGTGGGGCTACATTGTCAATTGTTTATAGATTGATTCCGAACAAACATATATGGAAAAAATCATTTTTTACTGCTGATGGCAATTTTGCAGTTTACCCCAACAACATTGACTCTTGATTCAGGAGTTACACGACCTCCTCCACCTTTGAGTGAGGCTGACCTTCTAAGTTGTATGGACAAGGTAAGACATGAATGTGCCATACATAGAGTTGTTTCATCTGATCTATTTTAAGTTTTCCTGATTGAGTAATACCTCCAATGGCCCTTCGAGTATTGTGCTTTTACTAGCAAACGTCCTCCGAGTATAAAATTACCAGCAAACGTCCTCTGAGTATCAAAAAGTGACCACCTGTAGTCTTGCGTTAGCAAATGCGTGAGCGTTAAATTGAAGGGTAAACTGAGTGAGTCGTAAATGTAACGCCACTTTCATGCCTTTGCTAACGGATGACCACATGTGGTCATTTTTTTTTTTATACTCATAGGACATTTACTGGTCACTTTTTGATACTCGGAGGACGTTTGCTGGTCATTTTATACTCGGAGGACGTTTATTGGTAAAAACACAATACTCAAAGGACCATTGGAGGTATTAACTCTTTCCTGATTATTTGGTTTCTTACACTTTTGATTGTGTTGTACTGATTTTTCATTTTGATAGGCAGGCATTGGCACAGATGCAACAATGCATGATCACATAAAAAAACTGCTTGATCGATGTTATGTGACTAAAGATTCAAACACCCGTTTCTCACCAACTAAACTTGTAAGCTTCTCCATCTTACATTGCATTCTCTTTACCTCTAGTGCTTTTGATATTTTATGTTCCCTTTTGTATTCCTATACATTTCTTTGTTCAAAAGTGAATAGCTGTGAGAAGTCATCACTGTGTATAGTGCTTGTTCACATTCAAATCCCATTCTCTTCCTGCAAGAAGCAGTATCATAACACTTTTCCAATTATATAATATGACAATACAAGAAAAGTTACTTCTATATATGCTTTGTAGTGTTTAAGTAGAAGTTCTGGGCCCAAACTATGTCTACTTGAAGAGATTAGAAATTGTGTAAGTATTTCTGTGAAAGCATACAAGTAATTATGGGGAATATATCAGTAGGTCATGTATGCAGGATGCTTTTATTACACTTTTTCCATGGTGCTTTCTAAAAGCTATATTATTAAATAGGTCATAATTATTTTGGAGCTTGGGAGGTAAATTTTGGATGCTTAATTTTCCCTTATCCAATTGTGGATTATCAACCCGATTTAACAAAGCAGGTTTTGTATAAGAGAAAGAAGCATGTTGGCGGTACTTTTGATGTCCAAATTGTCCTTTATATTTTGTATTCAGTGTATTATTATTGTTCATTTTATTTTAATGTTTCAATTGGCTAGTGGCCTAGTGCTTTGGTTATCTTATATTCTTTTCCTAAAAAGAAAGAGTCTGTATAGATGAACATTTTTTTTTTAATTTATTTTTTATTTTGCAGGGGGAAGCTCTGGTAATGGGATATGATGACATGGGGTAAGACATACAAACTTTTTCATCCTTTTAAATTTTTTATTCAGAATTTGTCCTATGTAATATTGAAAGGTGCAAATTAACGAATGCTGATACAATATTTCACATGTGGTATTGTGGACTCATTAGTAATGCGATCTAATTATATATTGATGTGGTATGCTCCTGTGTAGCATTATCAATTCCTATCATCTGATACGGTATAGAAAGCTAGTGCCTCTCCTCTTTTAGTGTCCTTTCATTGTAATTATCCTTTAAACACTTATATAGAATGTGAAGTTTCATCTAGTATGTAAGAGGTCTGCAAGTTGTGAAATTCTATATACCCCATAAATTATTAAACTTTTTTACTCCATGGTCTTTTAAAGTCATAGGTTTCGCCTCCAGAGGGGTCCAAATGAACTTTAAAAGGTCTATGGCTTTAAAGATCCTAGATAAGAAAGATTCTTACCCCATGAATATGTAAGAGTTTTTGCTGCAAGTTTGACAACTTGCTTAATGGAGTTCCTTTCTTTTTCTTTTCTCAATTGAAGGTTTTTTTTTGCTCCACCTCTTTCTAACTGCAGTTCATAATAGACATTTATATGGAAACGTTTGAATGACACTTTCTGGTTTCTTTCAGTTATGAACTGTGGAAACCATATCTCCGTTCAATGATGGAACATGATATGAAAGCAGTTAGTATTGGCACAAAGGGAAAAACTGAGGTTTTGGAGACCTGCTTGCAGCAAATGAAAGCTTGCTTTCTAGATGTAAGTGAGTAGTCAATCTATCATCAATATTTTGTAGAGCAGAAAAACATATGTACAGAAATCGTAAGTTTTCTTAGGCGACTAAGTTAATAATACATTGCAAAATTGGAAGTGGTGAATCAATGAAACTGAGGGAGTAATATTTAGTTATTAGTATTGCAATATTGTTCTTTTGGAGCCTAAGAATGCCAACCTAGTGTTGCTTTTCTTTTGATCAGGCAATAATTGAATGGCAATGGTGCTGAAGATTAGCATTTTGAATGTTGTAGTTTTCTATCATTTTCTTTTATCTGCTAGTGATGTTTTTTCTGGTTATGCTTCCCTATCTCAGCATGTTTATACCCTGTAATTAGTACTGTTAAGGGTAGCAAATAACTAATACATATGCACTTAAAAGTCCATATCCATAGTATTTGGAACAAGATGCTTCTCTATATGTTTGTCAAGAGTAATTTCCATTTTGCCTTTTCCCTTGCCTCATATTTCCCAAACCTTGCAATGAGAAATTGTAGATAGTAAAGTGGATAGTGGCTATAAAATTTCTAGGGCATGCTTAATCTTTTTATATTGTTTACAATTTGTAGCCAGCTTTTTGAGCCATTTATCTATCTGAGTAAAGGATCCATATCTTTATTTTCAGAACACTAGTGATGGATATATATAATGGTGTGAAGCATGAACCTTTTATTTGCTAGTGTTATATTTTTATTTGTAGTGATGTTAACTCATTGCAATAGCAGTCATGTATAAAGTACCTATCCATCTTTGAAATATGCGTACTCTTCTCAGTTTCTAAAATATTCTGTCACCATTATATTTTTGTCCATTTGTGCTCAAACCAAATTCTTCACAGGCCAGAGTAAACAAAGTAAAGTTATTTGAGGCAATGGCTGTGTTCTTTGACAGGTATGCCTTCGCCAATCTGAGTGACAATCATTCTGTCTCCCAACTTTTAAGTGTTTATTTTATTTTCTCTGTTTATGCAGATCAAACAGATCCAACGCTAGTGAGCAACATATAGTTGGAGATGTTGTTCGCAGATGTGGACTTTGTCAGGAATCAGATATGGTCCTCAGGCAGAAAACGGTAATTGATCAACCATTCTGAGTGAATTACTAAAGCACCACAAGCTTGTGGGGTTAATTTTTCTCTTGCCATCAACAATACATTTCCCCAACTGTACCTTCAATCATACTATAGCCCTTGAAAATATCTTTTGATGAATAAAATTAGACAAAAAAATTTCCCCACAGATAGGTCTGACTTCAAAAAAAAAAAATCAGTTAAAGCCTTTTTCTGTGGGGTGGCTGGTTCTCTTCATATTTGCTCTTAGCCTCAAATGTTAGTACCAAATTGGTATTATGTCGTCCTTGGTTTTAGTTGCTTCAATTTGCTTGTATATTATTTGTTTGTGATAATTTGAAGCCTTGATAGGCTGGCTTTTATCTACTCTCTGGCAGTCTGCTATTTTAAATAAGACTCTTTTTCATTTTGGATTTGAATTTTAGAATTATCTTCTTTCCTCATTATTTTTTTGTGATATTCTTCCTATGATTCAGGATGGAAAATTCATGGTTGGTTGCCTGGGTTATCCACAGGTAGGTGCTCATGTTATGTTACCGCCTTCATATGTTAAAGAAGCTGTTAACAATTCATTTTCATGATTGTTGAAAATATATGGAACTCTAAAGATAAATCCTCACAATATTTCTTACTGTTGTGTCCACTCCACCATATTTAAGCATGTTTTGCTTCCTTCCCTTTCTTTCATGTTGCTCACATCCTTATCATGGTCATACATGTATCATCACCTCATTGATGCAAACTAGGCAATATCTGTTCCTAACTCAAAATTTACAGTGGACTTACTTTTGATGATTGTCCAGCTTAGTCCATGTCATTTTTTGTGTGTAACATGATTGACTGCACTGTCTTTTAATGTTTTCAGTGTAAAGTATAGAATAATTTAACATTTTTTTTTTTTTTGCTAACCTATGTTTGACCAAATGTCCTTGTTGATTAACTTTTCAAGTATGTCTACTCAGTGTAGAAATGCAGTCTGGCTACCAGGGTGCATATTAGAAGCAGTTGTAACCCAAGATATATGCAGCATCTGTACTCCAGGTTTGTCTCTTAACATTCAAATTACTTATATTTGGTTGTTGAATCACTTAGATTTATCCTTCAAGAATGCATCTTGCTTCAAATTTTCTTAGGACTGATGTTGGGATATGGCTTACAGGACCTGTTTTTAAGATTCGGTTTAAATTTCGACGTCTGTCTATACCACCCAATTTCGATGCTGAACATTTAGGTATGCTACAATTTTGTATGAGATATGGGTGGATGAGTAAATCATTCTCTTTTGTTACATCCAAGGGAACCAATTATCTGTATTTATTTATATTTCTGGACTGAACATCAGTTTTCCTTAATTTTCTTGGCTGAATAATTGAATGTACTACCACATTGGAATGCAGAACATTTCCGTATTTGAGTGTTTCCGTTTCATGTCAGGTTGTGTTGGTGGCTGTGATGATACTCTGAAGCAGTTGGTAGAAATTTGTGGAACTGGTTCCAGGAATAGTTCCAGCATTCCTGGTATGCAGTCTAAACCTATTCAATTCTATGTACTTACATATGGTGTCATTTATTTGCAGATGTGTATATACAAACTTCTCTTTCCTAAGTATCTAGTTATTTGATTGAGAGACCTTTGTTTTGACAACTGAACCTCTGAAAATGATACTTCAATTGGTGTAGATGGGGCGAAATATAATGATTTTTCATTTGGCACCTGATCCATATTTCTATTTGTGTTTTAGATGGGATAATTATTTGGCATCTTAACTGGTTTTGATAGTAAATTGGGTATCCTTAATGTGGTTCTTTTTCCAGCTAGAGGGGGCCATACAACACCTTCTGCCAGTGCCCAGCAAAGCAATAGAGGGGGCCGTACAACACCTTCCGCTAGTGCCCAGCGAAGCAATCCTAGACCGCAAGCTCCTTGTTTATACTGTAGGCAAACAGGGCATTCATCAAATGATTGCCCCTCGCAAGCATCCAATCGGCGTTCTGCTCAGTCCTCCCAGTCCCAGTCCCAGTCCCATGAAGCTAACCGACAAAATGGTTTGATTGCCCAGCTCCCTCCCACATACTTTCAATTGTATTTACAAATATAAAATTACACCGTACAAGATTGATGTCAATTAGCACCCTGCAGAAGTTTACTTGAGTAGGTGACACAATAAGTGGGATGTTGCTTTATTGTTTCACAGACATGTCGATTAAAGACGTGCCAGTGCCACCCCCCTACTCATACATTAGCTGAGACATTGATGTACAATTAATGCACTTGCAGGTTGCTGCTGGAGTTCATATCTAATCTTTTTAATTTTTTTTAAACCAGGAGTACCCTCCATTCCTTGTAATTCCTGCGGTGCTCCCTGTGCTCTACGAACCGCCAACACTGCAAAAAATAGGGGCAGAAAGTTCTACTCTTGCCAGTCCCGAGAATGCAATTTTTTCGCGTATGATTAGCTAATTTCTGCCTTTTACACAAGTAATATTTTAATGTTTATTTTGATGAATTTTGTTGGTTGTAATGCAGATGGGAGGAAGATGCCGTGAGCAGAGGAGGAGGAGCCCCCTCCGAAAATACTAGCGACTTGGGGTCTAATTCCGGGAGGGGTGGCCGCGGACGCGGCCGGGGCCGTGGTAGAGGCAGGGGCAGGGGTAGGGGTGATGCCACACATGCTAATGGTTTTACCTTCGTTTCGGCAACAGGGGAACCAACCACCGGTTGCTGTTTTGTATGTGGTGATCCATCACACTTGGCGAATGTTTGCCCACGTCGTCGGGGATGAAAGTTGACGACCCCCTCCCTCCCTGTTTAAATCTTCATGTTGTATTTAGCTTATCAACGTAGTAAGCACTAAGCAAGCAATTATATAACCATATCTCATCATGATTTCAATTTAATGGGCTGTACCGAGTAATGTAGCAATTCTGGGTCACTGTTGCAACATCCGGGTTGGGATCGCAAATTCTAACTTCAAGGAAGGAGCGAGCACTCATGACTGCAACATCACGAAAATCAATGACTTTGTAATGTTAAATGTTTGCTATAGAAAATATACTATTCTGAATTAAAGTACTTCCAGGCCTCTATGCTTTATTTTTGCATTTGCATTAAGAAAATAAAGACGTCGAATCATTTAGTATATTGCATATTCAGTAAGAGATATGATAATATTATGGTGTTTCAAATGATGAATCAATATGAAATTGTTATTCTTAAATTTATTATCATTCTTGATTATTTTCTCATTCAATAACATTAAACAATTTTATAAGTTCCTTATTTTAATATTGATCTAATCATTTACAAAATTGCCTAATATTGATCACATCACTTATATAAGTATGGATTTACAAACTCAATTTTGAGTTATAAACATAAATAATATTCAATTGTTAACAAAAATTTTTAAAATTTGCAAAGAAATTCGTGTGGGTACATCCTGTTGGTGGATGACCCAACAGTAAGGTTCGCCAACAATAGACGGAGTAACTATCATCAATTTTACCAACATTTTGTACACAAATATATTTCACATTTTATCTACTGACTACTGGACTATACCCATCTTTATTTTTTATTTTTATTTTTTTTTGTTATTAAAATAAAACTTACGTAGATACAAAATGTGGAAATATTTTCAAACGCTGTCCCATACGCGTCCCTACTTGAATGGTATTGCCGCGTGGTACTACTCTCCCTAATTAAAATAAATATATTACGGGAAGCGAAAGACAAAAAGCCTCTAGAAAAATGCCAGAATGGCAGAAATTGCATCACCTTTTCGCTGACAATTGGGATTTGGGAGTCGACTCTCTTTGCAATAAACTCGGCTGAACTTGCAGAGTGCAGACCAAGCAACCAATACTCAATACTCCACACCCATTGTTTATACACTTTGACGGGATAGCTCCGCCGACCAAGAAACTTTCATTGAATTCGATTCTTCATCGGTTTCATAAATTTGTTAGTTTATTGATTTTAATTGGCTGACAGCAGCAGTCGACAGTACTAAAGTGGTAGTTGCTTCTTTTTGTATTTCTTTGATTGCTCGTTTCCTCTTCCCAAAGCTTTTAATTACCTTTGGGCGGGAAAACTCCGGGATGGGCTGCCGGAAGGTCGCCGCCGGCTCTTCTACCATCTCCGCTGAATCCAGCTTCCGCAAGCTCGACGATGTCTTCTTACAGGTCAAACTTAGCTTGTTTCTCGCCATCGCCATCGGTATTTGTATATATTTCCTGTACCTATCTTTTTATCTAACAGTAGTGATCGAGTTGAGCGTTGTTCGCCACAAACTTGCAAATATGGATTCTAGAATGCTGTATATAAGGCGATTCTGATTCGATCTTGATCTTCTTTCTGTTTTTTAATTTTTTAATTTTTACTTCAGACTCAGACGAGAATATGGCTAGGGGAAGTTCTGAATATGAGATTGAATGAGCAGTCGCACATTTCTGATTTGCTGGCTGATGGAGATCTTCTGTATGTTCTTGGAAACTATATCTGTTGTGTTGATAAGGCACACTCTATGGATTAGGAAAGAATTAGAAGATTGGATAAAGAATGATTTTATTTTTGTTTTTGAAAAAAAAAGAAGAGGATTTTCTATATAAGATATTGCAGCTATGTTTATCTAGATTTTTGTTGTTAATATTATATCCTTTTGCAAGAAGGTTATTTATTTGCAAAAAGATATAGTTAACTATTAATACCAAGCTTAGGTGGGCATAGTCAGTTAGTCACATAGAGCTGCTATAAAGTTGATCTTTGTGTAATGGCAATATGATAGTGCGTCATGTATGTTAAGCTTGTAATCTTTTCTTTCATGAAAGGGAAGCTCTTCTACTTTTGACCTCATCATTTAAAAATAAAAATAAAAATTACTGTAATAGAACTTTTTTCTTCTATCAAATAATAGTTATGTTTGTTTGACTCGTTGCAGGTTTGAGGTCTCTAAAGTAGTATGGAATATGTTGTTTGCAAAGTGTCCAGAGCTTAGACGTTTAAAGTATAAACCACTTGATTCCCGGAAAAGCAGTGGGAGATACAGGCCTTATTCTAATGTTGACTCTTTTCTAAAGGTTAATCTTCTTCATCATATTCAATGTTTATCTTGGTAAAGCTGTTCATCTCAACTGGTTTGCTATAGGATAATCCTTGGAGGGGTTCATTTTTCATTAAACGTTTTTTGGTCTTTAGTGATAGCAGTACTGTGTCTATAGCATTTCTTTGATCTGTTGAATAATGGGATAAGAAAATCCACTGATTTAAGCAGATTGAGTTTGTTATTCACAGTAGCATGGAAGTAAATGACTCTTTTTTACTTTAATCTTTCAATGAGAATAAGTTGTGGTGGTGAAGGTTACTAGTTCCCCCCTGTTCGTGTAGATCTGCAAAATTTTGGGATTGAATGGTATCGATCTCTTCTCCCCATCAGATGTCGTTGAAAAAAGAAATGTTCGGAAAGTTTGCATTTGCTTAAGGGCACTATCAAAGAAAGCCAGATCAAAACATTTAAAGGTAAGACAAATTATGTAGGTGCAAATTTTTATGGAGTGTTTTATTTTGTTCAATAGACTTTCTTGATCAGTTCTTTCTTAGATCATTATGCAAATGCTTTCTCCTTTCTGCTTCAATCGCAAATTTACTGATAATAGATCATTACCTTGATATAGGTCCCAGACTTTGATGTGGTAACATACACTGTAGCCATGCCAAAAGATATGGTGGGGGGCATTAGAAGAAGCTTGGAGACATCGCAATGTAGCTTTTCAAGTTCATCCAGTTACAGCTCATATAAAGATCAAAGACAGAAAGTTAGGCAGGTATACTCTTCAGTCTTCAAGGATTAACGCCATAGCCATCAGCATGTATGAGCTTGCGTATTTGAGGCATACATGCAGCCTTACTCTGAGGTTTACTAATACATACCATTATGTTCTGTAGAAAAATTTAACCGAAGCAGGTGATAAAAACTATGATTCTTGTTCAGAAGAATCTGATGAAGCAGAAAGCAAGTATATGGGAGAAGAATCTTATTGCTCGTCTACAAACAATAATAAATATACTGCTCCTCTGAATTCAGATTGCGAGAATTCACCTGGAGTTTGTTCAGCTGTTACAAAGAGCAGCATGAAGCAGAGTTTGTTGCACTCTGATATGCGTGATCAGCACATTTATGATAATGGGTTCAACCAGTTTGGATCAGAATCAACAAAATATCCCTCTTCACAGCATGCTAGGAATTACGAGTCACAGGATGGAGTTTCATCTTCTTGCATCAAGTCTCAAAGAAAATTACATCAAAGTGATGACTTAAGTCGTCCTCTTGACAATGACATAATGCATTTCGACCACGTTGACCCTAATATGGGGAATTGTGCATCAGTCCAGGATTCTATATATGACTATGAAGCTGAAGGAGATTATATCTCTGATTATCTAGCATTTTCAGATTCAGTTATTGGTGGAGCTGATGGCAATAGCCCTGTTTTACTGGAAGGGGAAGATAATATTTTTAACTTTTTTATGGGCGTTGATTCTCATTGGTCAAGGTCAAGTCGGTGTTCAGTGGATGGATGTGGAAATAAATTCTCTGATGATATTGAAGATCTGGAAGTATCATCCACAGCTAGCATGAGCTCTTTATTAGGTCGGGCACTTAATTTGGAATTCGATGACCACTTTGACATAGATGCCCACAATGCATTGCTGGATAATGAGGGCTGTAGCCAGGACAGAGGTTTATTAAAAACTCCTCAAGCTCGGGATGTTGCTGATGATGGCAATGGATCTCAATGTCACGATGAATTTAAATCAGCATCAAAGGAGTGTCTTAGAGATCCACCCGGTGCCTTGTTTCTCACAGGCAATAATAAAAGTGAAGATGACAACAATGCAGATCCTGGCACCGAATTTGGAATAAATCATAGATTACACAATAGTTATTCAGGTGAGTTAAAGGATGGATGCGTTAGTAGTTTGCAGAGTCAGCAAATAGTTAGTTTCCAAAATGAGCACAAACCGTCTGCTATCAGATTATTAGATGAGTCTAGTGTCAATCAGAACTTGGTTGCTCATCCAAATTCTTATGAAGCTCTAGAAGAAAAGCATCCTTACATTCCAGTCAAAGATTCAAATGAGGCAAGTGGCCCTCTTTAAACCCATATCCTTTGACTATAAACTATATTTCTGAGGTCTTTTTCTTGTTTTTTGGTATACAGTTTGACACAAAGCATAGAGACATGGATTTTCTGGCAGAAAATGTTTCAAATGGGAAAGACAAGACAAATGTTGAAGCTTCCAAGGACAAGGTGCACCGAAGGCCATTTCTGCATACAGTTGCAAAAGGCACTGCAATTTTTGGCATGATGTTTCTGGTGCTTCATCTCAGGTTTGTCTCTTTGTCAACCTATATGCCCATATTAAAGAAATCCACTTTCTTCTCCTTTTATTTATCTTTGCAATGAACGTTGTTCATAACAGTAGAAGGGACCGAGAGAAAGACAGTGATGCAAACAAGAAACCGCCTCAAACTAAGAAGTTTAAAGGCAGGGATATCTCTTACAGGGAAGGACAAAATGGAGGTAGAGATAGGATTTATCCTGCAGAAAAGCTGAAGTTCAAGAACTAGTATGCATATATATATACATACATATATATATACATACATATATATATATATATATATATATATATATATATATATATATATATATATATATATATATATATATATATATATATATATATATATATACATATTTTTTTTTTGCTTGGTGCTGAGCAGCTGAGCTGCATTACTTTGATAGTTTCCATTCCCTTTACTTGGTGTTTTTGTACACACAGGCATGCTTCTAGATTTTCAGTTCTGTTATCCTCCTTGAGATATCAAATTTTAAGTTTTTGCTCAGGGAAAAACAGAAACCTTATGTTGTTAGAGTTAGTTACTACTTAATGTATAATGGTTTACTTCACATTACAGGCAAGATTCCATCAATGATAAATTTTCTTATACAATTAGTTATTGCCAATTAACATCAAGTCGTTGTAGTATAGTGGTGAGTATTCCCGCCTGTCACGCGGGTGACCTGGGTTCGATCCCCGGCAACGGCGATTAAGGATATATTTTTAACTTTCACACCTTGTGAGACATAATAGGTGAACTACGTATTTTTACATTCCTTATTTCTTGAGACATAATAAATGACTCATTTATTTCCACACTTGACCCATATATTTTAACACTCTTACACCTCCAGACAAAATAATTGATCTATGTATTTTTACACTCGGCCTACGTATTTTTACATTCTATACCCTGAGACATCACAGTTAACTTTTTTCTATTGACATGAAAGTTCGGGCAAATTGTGTTGTGGAACTGTGTAGGTGGACACGGTTCCAAAATACTACGTATTTTTACATTCCTTATTTCTTGAGACATAATAAATGACTCATTTATTTCCACACTTGACCCATATATTTTAACACTCTTACACCTCCAGACAAAATAATTGATCCATGTATTTTTACACTCGGCCTACGTATTTTTACACTCTATACCCTGAGACATCACAGTTAACTTTTTTCTATTGACATGAAAGTTCGGACAAATTATGTTGTGGAACTGTGTAGGTGGACACGGTTCCAAAATTATTCATAATTATGAATTTATAGTTCAAAAATTATGAACTTATAGTTTTGTAATTATTAATATAGAGATTCAATAATTGTAAATATGAAGTTCAAAAATTATAAATATATAGCTTTATAGTTATGAACATATAGTTCAGTAATTATGAACATAGAGTTCAATAATTGTGAATATAAAATTTAATAATTATGAATATGAAGTTCAAAAATTATGAATATATAGATTTATAATTATGAACATATGTTTAGTAATTATGAACATAGAACCGTGTCCACCTTGCAAGGTGGACACGGGTCCATAGCATAACGATTGGGAAGTTCGTCCATAACTGATTGTAAAGCCCCCACCTCGAAACATAATAAGCGATTCATATATTTCGTATTTAATTATTTGTACACCTTTCTCCAAAAAAATTATTTTTACACCTCTATATCTCATTGCATGATTCACATCTTCCTACACTATAATCTCATTGTAGGATGCTGCCCTCTATGCTATCACAACTAACACAATTGAACATGGCGCATTACCAATACAAAAGAAGATGATATGTACTGAAGATAAAGAGAATGGCAATGCTACCCTCAAGAAAATTAAGAAGGCTTAAAGAAATTTAAACCAGATGTAGTATTTTTTTTTTTTTTGACTCAACCAAATGTAGTATTTATTTACACTATTATTTTTAGACTAACATTATTTAGACTATTATTTTTAGACTAAGTATTTAGAAAATTGCCATAAATTATTTTAGTAAAAATTATAACCAATCATGATTGCATTATCTTGCATTCGTAAACTTAGAATTATATATTTAAATAAGCAAATTCAGCATCCGATTATCTATGCATAAATAACTTTAATATGCCCGCATGGGTAGCTCAACTGGTCATAGAGGTGAAACTTTGGAATAATGACCAGGGATCAAGTCTCACCAGCGACAGTGTGGGAGCAATCTCTCAAAGTGAGGGGGACTTTTTTGTATGCAGTGAGCACCACAGACGCTGTCGGGCCCTTAGGGTTGGGGTTCAGCCTTTTGGAATAAATAACTCTAATATAATCTTTTTTTCTAAATTTAGTTCCAGACTATCGTTTTTGCTATTGTACATCCCAGACTATTATTTTTTGGACACTTTTAATCCTTCTCATGATTTTTTATATTTTTAGTAAGGGCTTTTTTGTCTCTTCATATTTCTCTTTTGTTATTTTTCCGGTTTCAACCAGTTTAATTAGTTTAGAACTTTAGGTAACATCTGATTTTTAATAACCATATTTTACAACCAATTTTTAGCAAAGTCCTAAACCAATTACACTAGTTGAAATCGGAAAAATTACAAAAGAAAAATATGAAGAAACAAAATTGCCCTTACTAAAAATAGAAAAAGTCCTGAGAAGGATTAAATGTGTCCAAAAAACGATAATCTGTGATGTAAAATGACAAAAAACGATAGTCTGGGACTAAATTTGAAATTGTCACAAAAAATAAGAGACCTCGGGTGAAATTAACTCATTTTAAAATACTTATATAAAAATATAACATTGGATATTATCTCAATCAATGCACGTGAAAAACTAGTATCTCACGAAATAGTAAATTATATTCCGTAATTGACTTCTTAATTTAAAAGAAGTTCGTCCATAACAAATCGTAAACCTCACGTAATAATGGGTAAGGACGTGAGGTATATGTAAGGCTAAATTGACGGAGGAAACACGGCATACACGACGATTCAGCATTTTTAGGCTCGTTGACTAGACGTCTTTAGACTGATCTTTCGTCATCGTCACCGCGGAAATTTCACCCGTCTACCGGTCCAATATATCCACCCAATTTGGAAATCAAAACCAACTCCACAAGTCATCATAGCCGTCCACGTACGAACATGTAGTTCTGCCCATCACATCCATTTTGACATTTTACTCTCTTTTGTCCAATTTATTTTAAGTTTATACGTGAAGAATGCTCTTTTAGATCGAAATTCACTCGGCATAATCGAAAAAACATTTATTGAATTTTTTTTTTTTTAATACGTCTACAATGTCGAACGTCTCAAAAAAAAAAACATATAAATGTAGGGATGAATAAAACAATAAATCAAATTTATATATATAATAAATATAAATAGTTGGATTTGAATTTTAGAAAATAATTTATAGAGAAAAAATTTGTATATCGCAATTAAGATCATTGTAATGACAATTGAACACCCAATTGATCAGACCTAAATTCGAGTCATAAAACATGAATTCACCCTAACCCGACCTAAATTAATAATGGATCTCACTTGTATTTGTATTATTACAAAATAACCACTTAAATATCATTTATTATTGAAAAAAAATAAAACACCTCTTTATTACGAAGGCTTCAACTCAGTCAACTCGGAGCAGGCGCCTAAGTTTAATTTTTTATTTCAAAAACATCTACGAATAGCAACCACCGGAACCGCGCCGAACCGGAAGACAGTAGACGGCAAACGTTAAAATTAGAATTATAAAGCAGGCAGGCCGCGAAGACGACGAGCATAAACAGAAGAGCTGAAATATGAAAAGCAGAAGTGCCCCCCGAGGCGCCAAAGTGTCACCCAAATGGATCATCGTTTTCACAGCTCTCGGTTTCGCCTTCGGCATGCTTTTCTCTAACACTTACAGGTATTCCGTCTGTCTTTTCATATGTTTCTTGTTTGTCCTCACCTCACCTGACTCAAAACATGAAAACAACTCCTCTTTATTCATATCATATGCAGCTCAGCTCAGCTCTCCAAAATCTCTTATTTTCTTAAATTAAACATGCAAGTTTGTATATTAATTGTATAACGCAGTTTTTGGGTTTTTGGTTAAGTATAGATTTCTGGGTCCTCTTGAATCGGACGACCGGATCATTTTCGGACGGCGGTATAAACAACAAGAACAGGTGACTGGCGAGGTCTGGCCCACTGTGATTCCTTTTCCTTTTATTTTTCTGTTTTAATGTTTTTTTTTTTTGGTTTCTAGTATTCTTTTTCCGAATGTTCTGAATATACTGATTTAATTGTGTCCAGAATATTAATGAGAGTGGGGTTGGACAAATCAACAAAGCTCATGAAGCTATTGAGTGAGTGTTCCTAATTTAGCATATTCTTTGAAGTGGAAATGAGATTAAGTAATTCCAGAATTGAAGTAGATTCTTTTATTCCAAATACTGATTTTATGCTTGTTTTTGCCTGCTGGGTTAGTAGATCATTAGACAATTCAGTTGCTAAAATTAGCATAGAGCTGCCTTTGATCAAGAGTTCTGACAGTGTGGAGAAATCTGAAACCCGTTCTGAGGAAACCGAGAAGAGGAAGAAAGTGTTTATGGTTATTGGAATAAACACTGCCTTCAGTAGCAGAAAGAGGCGTGATTCCGTGAGGGAAACATGGATGCCTCAAGGTGATAATTAATGGTGAAATTGTTATACTGCATTTATTCCAGGTTTCCCACTTTTCGCCTCTCTTGACAATAGCTTGCTTGTTTGAATTAAAGGTGAAAAATTGCGTAAATTAGAAGATGAGAAGGGGATTGTTGTCCGCTTCATGATAGGCCACAGGTACATTATTTGCACGTCTTATGTTTGTTTAAATGCTAGCTTCATGGTGAGAATGGTCAATGTCTATAAGTAGGAGCTATATTTTCTTTCTTTGTACCAAAAGAACTAAGTAGTGTCTTTCTCGTTATTGTTTGTGAAGTTGAACTCACTTGATCTGAGTAATTTTCGTGCTGTTTTGCAGTGCGACATCCAATAGCATTTTAGATAGAGCAATTGACATGGAAGATGCTCAACACAACGACATTCTCAGACTTGTAAGTAGAATCCAGAACTCGATCTGTGTTTGTACTCAAGTTCCTTTAAAATGACGACGACATTTTGCAGAACCACATAGAAGGGTATCATGAGTTGTCTGCAAAGACAAAATCTTTCTTCTCCACTGCTGTTGCGAAATGGGATGCTGAGTTTTATGTCAAGGTTGACGATGATGTCCATGTCAACTTGGGTATATATATCTGCTTGCCACTTCTCCTCTTGATATGTAACACTCTTTTATATGGTTTTGGCTGATTATCATGATACATACGCAGGTACACTAGCTGCAACTCTTGCCAGGCATCGATTGAAGCCCAGGGTATATATTGGATGTATGAAATCTGGACCAGTTCTTTACAAAAAGTAAGGCCATTTAAAGCATTACGGGTTGACAGTAGTACATGTTTCCTGTTTAGAAATAACTCCATATCTCTGTGGAATTCAGTTTCTGTGTCTCGTTCTTATCTTGAGGGGATTCCTTTGTAGGGACGTTAAGTACCACGAACCTGAATTTTGGAAATTTGGAGAGACTGGAAATAATTACTTCCGGCATGCAACTGGGCAGATATACGCTATTTCAAAGGAGCTGGCAACATACGTCTCTACCAACAAGTAAGAAAGATTCTTGATATCTGTCTTATGAAGTATGGGGCATTTGGTTTTGCCACTATCTAAGCTTTTTCTTCATAAACCAAATTGTTTGAGTGAGTTTAGGACTTTCAAGTTCTGAACTCTAATATGGTGCAAAGAAATCAAGTCTCACTGAATTCGGGATTTCTCTCATTCCACTCATTATTCATCATTTTTATCTGTCAATTCCCGACATTTGAGTTGATGATTTCAGGGATGTTTTACACAAGTTTGCTAACGAAGATGTATCACTGGGTGCATGGCTACTTGGTCTAGAAGTCGAACACATTGATGATCGCAACATGTGCTGTGGAACTCCACATGGTATGTTTTGCTTTTCTCGTCTTGTTGCTTGCTTTCTTCAAGGATTCAGCCATGGCTGAAACAAGAACTCATCATATGTGCAGACTGCGAATGGAAGTTACAGGCGGGGAATGCTTGCGTGGCATCATTCGATTGGAGCTGCAGTGGAATCTGCAAATCAGTACAGAGAATGAAGGGTGTTCATGAGAGGTGTGGTGAAGGTGCTGCTACGCTCTGGAGTGCTCTCTTGTGATAATAACACTGTAAAAGAGGAGAAAATCACAATGCTTTTGGAAATAGTGGTAGTTTTGGGACTCAAAATTTTAGCTGCTGCAGTTTTGATGTAAGAAACCAGTATGCATACCTTTCTTAGCCTTTTGGCTAAGATGATGTGTAGTATCTGTTATTATCATTTAGTTTAATATACTTAATACCATGAGCTAGTAGTTTGCATGATATCAATTTCTTTTAGAAGCTTCATCAAATATGCGAGTAGCTCAGTTAATTTGACCGATCACCCTAAAATCTTGTTTTACTGATCAAAGAGATGATGAACAACCTTTGGATTCATTAATCCTTTAATATAATTGGCACGATGAGAACTGATGGAATTGTATTAATTGAACTTAATTACAATGAGTATAAGAGATGAGAATATATACAATAAACAGTCATATAGTAACTAGGAGTAGGAGATCTAGATTGACTCAAATACATAGAGTTTTAATACTCTCCCTCAAGCACATGGTACACTAGTGACTTGTAGCTTGTCTCTAAGTGAATATATCAGCAAGTTGACTTGAATTTGCCTGAGGCCACCCTGTCATGGACGAAGTGATAATCAATTTTCACATGCTTAGTACGGGCATAAAAAATTGGATTAGCACTCATATAGATAGCTCCCAGACTGTCACACCATAGCTTTGGAGTTGAAATTTCCGGCACATGTATCTCTCGTAATAGCGACATGATCCATAAAACGTCAACACAAACATCAACCAGAGCTTTGTATTCAGCTTCAGTGGAAGATCTAGTAATGGTTCTCTGTTTTTTTACAAACTCAAGATATGAGATTAGTGCCTAAAAAGACTGCATACCTACTCGTGGACTTACGATCTTCTGGACAACTAGCCCAATCAGGATCAGAAAAGGCATGAATTTCTTTTGAACTGAACTGCCGAATGTGCAACCCGAGGCCGAGAGTGCCCTTGACGTACCTGAGAACACGTTTGAGCTGTTCCAAGTGTGATACAGTGGGAGCATGCATGTGTTGACATAGCTGATTAACCGCAAAGGATAAATCAGGACGCGTGACTGTGAGATACTGTAAAGCCCTAGCTATACTCCTGTACTGGGTAGGATCACCATACAAATCTGCACTGAATGGAACATGTTTCGAAATAGGGATATGAGTGGAAAAAGGTTTGCACTCAGCCATTCCAGCACGTTTAAGAATATCATTCATATATAGTTGCTGAGATAAAATAATACCATCATTGCATTTAACAGTTTGAATACGCAGAAAGATATTTGGCTCACCAAGATCTATGATCTTGAAAGCAGCTGATAGTTTTGATATTAAGTGGGAAACCAGAACCTGATCACTTCCCATTACAAGAATGTCATCCACATAAACCAACAGATAGACTAAGGCAGAATCCTTAGAATAAAATAACAAAGAGACATTTGTTTTGGATGCTTGAAACCAACTGTTAATAAAAAGACATGCAAACGATTAAACCAGGCTCTAGGAGCTTGTTTTAATCCATATAGAGATCTTTTTAGCAAGCAGATATGGGATGGAAAATTAGTATCAACATAGCCAGGAGGTTGCTTCATATAAACAGTTTCAGCAAGATTACCATTCAGGAAAGCGTTATGAACATCCAGTTGCCTGATAGCCCATCCCGAAGATAAGGCTAAAGATAAAAGAAGCCTTACAGTTGTAGGTTTTACCACCAGACTGAATGTGTCAAAGAAATCATGGCCAGGTACCTGATTAAACCATTTTGCCACTAATCTTGCTTTATGTCTCTCAATAGTTCCATCAGCTTTTCTATTAGTCCTGAAAACCCATTTACAACCAATAACATTCATACCTGTGGTGGGAGGAGCTAGAGCCCAAGTCTGATTTTACAAGAGAGCATTGAATTCTTGGTCAATAGCATCACGCCGCTCTGAATATTTTACAGCTTGAGAATAACATGTGGGTTTCGTAGGACAAACCTGAGTCGATAGGGCCATAAGTGGTGCTTCGGACCTGCTGCGAGTAGCCATAGAGTGAGTACGCTCGGTAGGCCTGGTGGACCGACCACGAGGGCATCCTCGCCGTCGCTGAAGTGGAGCCGCGACGTCAGCCGAGGCTGTGGCAGAATCGTCGGAAATGGCCGGCCGGCGGCTGATCTGGAGGAGCATAGCAATCGAGGGCATGGTGGCGAGTTGATGAGTCAAAACAGATTCCACCCACGGAGCTTCATGATATCGAGACAAATCCTGTAAAGAAGATTTAGCAGCAAAGGGAAAAATTTCTTCATCAAATCTGACATGCTTGCATGTGTAAATCTTGTTAGTCTGAAGGTCCATGCACCTATACCCCCTAAAGGAATCTGGATAACCTAAGAAGACACATGGAGAAGATCTATATGACATTTTGTGACGATTGTATGGACGAAGATGACGATAACACAGACAGCCAAAGACACGAAGAAAAGAGTAGGATGGAGGGGATTTATGCAACAAGTGATGGGGACTGGAATTATTTAACACAGAAGATGACATTCTGTTAATTAAATAAGTGGCTGTCTCAAAGGCAAAATACCCGAATTTTAAAGGAACAGAAGCATGAGCTATGAGAGCTAGGCCAGTTTCAACAATGTGACGATGCTTACGCTCAACACGACCATTCTGTTCATGTGTATATGCACATGATTGCCTATGTTGAATTCCTAATTGAACAAAAGAGTTGTGTAATTTTTTATTTTTATTTTTTATATTCAACACCTAGGTCAGACTGAATGGATTTTATTTTACAATTGAATGACCTTTCAACAAGGATGCGAAACTTATCGAATATGACATAAAGATCATACTTCAATTTCATAGGAAAAAGCCATGTGAAAAGAGAATAATCATCCACAAATATTACAAAGTAACGGTAACTATTTGTAGATAGAATAAGAGCAGGTCCCCAAATGTCTGTGTAAATTAAATCAAAAACATGCGAACTAGAGGAAGTAACACGTGGGAGAGGAAAACTGGCAGATTTACCCAACTGGCACTCATTACACAAATTATTTGCACAATTGACTAAAGACCCACGAACTAAAGAAGGCTGAAGAATACGACTAAGAACGTGATGATGGGGATGACCTAGACGATTGTGCCAAACTGATGCCGAGGCACGGGCTGAGAAGAAAGCGGAAGGAGACGTGTATGGCAGCGGTAGAGTGTATAGTCCCCCAGAACAATTACCTCGAAGAAAAATTTCCTTGGTATTGATATCCCTCACAACAAAAAAGGTGGGGTGAAACTCAAAAAAAGACCTTATTATCATATGCAAATTTTTGAACGGATAATAAAGAATTTGACAAACTTGGAACATGAAGAATATCAGACAAATTAAAAGATTTAGAAGGGGTATTGAAAGAGGCATGACCAACATGACTAATAGATAAACTCATATCGTCACCAATACGTAAAGTGTCGTTACCAACATATTCTTCTGAAGTGGACAAGGCAACAATGTCCGGGGTGGCATGGTTGGTAGCACCAGTGTCTGGAATCCACATCTGAGATCCACCAATGTCTGAATTATTTGGGTAGGTTATATTGGCTTGAGTCGGTGGATCATAACGATTGTAACATGCAACCACTTCGTGACATGTGCGTTTGCAAATTTGACATTTAATTTGATTACCTCCTCCGTTATTACCACGACCGCGGCCACCCTGTTATCGTCGGCCACCGCCTCGATGCTGATTGCCGCCGCCCCTCTAGTTACCGTCGCGGCCCTGTCCGCCTCGACCGGAACGATCGCCACCATGCTGAACTGCCAACGCCGCCGAGGCACCGCCATAGTCCTGGCTGGAGATAAACTCATGGGCACCGAGAAAATCCGTCAGCTCTTGAAGAGTAACCGGTTGACCCCGAACGGAAAGAGAAGTCATCAATGACCGGAACTCTGACCTCAAACCGCGAAAGACGAAAAGGTTTTGATCGTCTAGGGTTACGGTTCGGCCGGCTAGGGTTAGTTCCTCAATAATTACCTGAGCTCGGCCGATGTAGTCTACCACGAATGAATCACCCTGTTCTAAACCTTGTAAATGACCAAGAAACGAGATCGGAAAGGCTTGATTCAAGCCCGAGCTCGTGTGTGCCAGCACCTGCGGGCACGAATGTCTCCGGAAATTGGCTGGCCTTGCGGGCTAAGTTATGCCAACTTTCGGTATCGATTTTTCCACGGCCTGGGGCCGAAACTAGCCAGTCTGGGGCTGAAGGCCAACAGACGAACATGGGATTAAATTCTTCAGTTATGAAATTAACTTCAATTTCAATTTTTTGAATTTAAATCTTGAGTAATGGCTTGTTGTTTCAGATGTTACAAAGCTAAGATTAATGACTTTGTTTAATGCTATTGAAGTCCAACATCCCTATATAAGAAGGGGTAGAGGGCAGAAGTTTTTCACGACACAGTGAACAAGCACACAACAAGAAAATATATTTTTCAGTTTCAAAATACTTCTGCTTCTACTCCTTTCTTAAGCCTAACTGTGTTCAAGGCTTTGCTCTAGTTCGCTGGGTTCGTTCGTTTGGGTGCTCAAACGTTGAACCGTAGCACGTTTTATCCTTGGAAACCTAGGCCACAGCGCTCCTAGCACTTTTGAGAGGTGGCAAATAAGGTTTTAAGAAAAGAGTGGTCACTTGACTCGCGCTAAAAACCCTATACCCATACACGAGCCATCTTTTCCTTCTTTCGGTTTTGGATTATGCTTCTAAGCAAAATCCTCCTATCTATTTGTTTTGTCATTAAATTGGATTTATAATCTGAGGATTATTAGTTTCAATTTTTGGCTTATATATATATATATATATATATATATATATATATATATATATATATAGATTTTGAATCCAGTGCGCACCCCCTATTTAGCCGAGTCCGTAAGCACACTCTCTGATCGTTGATGTTTATTTTTCAACGATCAAGATGATGTGATTTTTTAACACACGTGCGCTGGTTATGTATGTAGGTAGGGGTTGTTTTGTAATTCATCATTTTCTTTGATTATGACAAGTCATTATCTTCGCCGGTTATTTTGCGTGTGGGTGTAGATAAAATAGGGATTTTATTTTGCTTCTCTCTCCACAGCAGTTGCTAGAGCTTTTTGTCGCGCAGCCTCGTCCTTTTTCGCAGACGATTCTTCTCCCGTCGCCTCATCGCTCCGGTATACACGTCG